AGGAGGCTGAGGCAGGAGAATCAGTTGAACTTGGGAAGCAGAGGTTGTAGTGAGCGGAGATTGTGCCACTGCACTCCAGCCTGAGCAACAAAGTGAGACTCTGTCTCAAAAGAAAAAAAACATAGTAAAGAAGTGAGTGGTGAGGACCTACCAGATAAGAGTTTATGATATATGGGTATTGCTTTTTGGACAATCAGGGCCCTTGAATTATTCTTATTTATCTACACATTCATTGAATAAACATTGTAGTGCCTAACATGCTAATGTGTACCAGTCTCAGTGTGGTTTGTAGACGTAGAGCAGAAACAACCAGACTATTAAAACCAGAACTATGGGTGCAGCAAACCAACATGGCACATGTATACCTATGCCATACTATGTAACAAACCTGAATGTTCTGCACATGTACGCTAGAACTCAGAGTATAATTTTAAAAAAAACAGAACTATAAATAAAATCACTAGCAATTGTACAACTTCAGATTGTGAAGGAAAGCTTGCTTGTGGATACAGGACAAATGGTTTTGGGTCTATTTAGTCCTTGCTGAAGCTAAAAAGGAAAGAAACAGTGAGAGGCAGAGAAAGAGAAAGGAGGAAGGTTTTATAAAACTGATGGAAGCAAAAATATCAGAGCCTATAGAATACATGAAAAAAGAGAAAGGAATATACTATTTGAAGGAATGCTGTTACTGTTAAGCTGATTGAATTATCCTGTTTCCTAAGGTGTTTGAAGATTGTTTTGGGGTTTTGTTCCTATGATTTTTTTTTCCACTGCTCTGTTTCTTTTTTGGTGCTTTCTCTTCCATTCTGTACTTTGAGAAAAAGTGAGTGTTTAGATTTATAACTTGATATTCAAATCTGCATTTCAGAGTACCATCTTAATCCCCAAAATCTCTCACTCAATTTGTTTTTAGGTTATGAAGACCATCTAAAAGAGTGCCAAAAAAGCAGCTTGGAGTAATCAACCCTTTTAAACACTATTTACTTTATATTGCTGGACCTGTAGCATCATGGAAGAAAACACTTTACTTTATCCATAGAAATTACCTCGGAAATGCTACATGGCATGATCATTACAAGTAATAGATAAGAAAATAACCTGCTTTCTTAGTCTTCAAGTATGGTATGTTTTATATTCAAGAAAAGATATACTAAACATACATTAGGTTAAAATGAAAACAGATTCAAAGCTTAGGCATTTAAAATTTTAGAAATGCCTAAATAAAATATTGAAGCAAAAGATCTCAACCAATTTATTTGTTGTGTAAAGAGCTTACATGCAGGTTTAGTAGACATTTGCTAGATGCATGTGTAGAAACCTAATTTGTTTGTCACTTTAAGTTCATTTTTCATTCATATTGTCAAACCCTCTTTGATAATTTGGATCCAAAATTTAAATACTAAAATCAACATTATACCTCAAAATAAGTTAAATTTGAAACACATACTCAAATTTTATTAAATTTTACAGTGACTGAACCAAATGAAATTTGAGACTGGAGATTTTGCCTTAATATTTAATAAGGTACACTGCAAATTTGTTTGCTGTGTACTTTAGCAGAGGGGTGCCAAAAGTTTGGAAATAAGTTAATCTAAGTAAATGAAAACAGCAGGAAGGGGAAGGGTTACTTGTGTATGTATGAATATGAGGTACGATTTATGCGCCCTGACTAGCACTCTGCTCATATCATACAAAAGTCCACTGAAGGGCTTTTTTCTTTCATAAGAAAAGTACTACGGGAACTGATTCAAATAAGTATAAGGGAGTTATTTTTATATTAGGAAAAGCAAAAAAAATGATAATAATTACTGACTGCACACTCACAGTGAAAGGCATTTGGGCAGGAAATGTCTTGATCCCTTGGACCAGTGCATAAACCCACTTTAAAGAGGGAAATAACCAAAGCGTTTTCAGATAGCTGTTAAGCTGGTGAGACAACTGAAAACTCTAGCAATAGCATGAAAGTCACTTAAGTAAAAAATAAACTTTCAGAGGCTGAAGCTACTTGAGTTCAAGATTTGGAGATGAATGCCAAAGAGGATTAGTAAAACTCTTCCATGCGAAATACACCCGTAGTGGCTCCATCAACACATTGCAAACCCAAGCCCGAGAGTTACTATGTAAGTGAGAGTTGAGTGCAATCTGTAATAAGAATAATAACATTTCCTTAAAAAGTTAAAAAAAAATCATATAAAGGAACCCAAAGTAGCAGTCCTGCCCTTTACTTTCCCTTCTGCGGCAAAGGAAAACGATTGGCAGATTTTCTTCTGTAGTTTTACAGAAAGAAATAGGGTTGACTGTGGCTTCTGAGATTCCTAGGCTCAGAGGAAAAGGCAACTTAAATTTCTTTACTCATCATGACAAGTAATGGCACTCAGACATATTTGAGTGACCTTTATGAATTAAAGGCAAGATATAGGGCGAGTTTTGCAAATACAAAAGCCTATAGCAGCCAGGCTGGTCAGAAGACAATGTGGGTGACTTGTAAATTGGAGAACATCCACGCTGTCCAAAAGGGCAGCTGATATTCAATTTGAGCAGATCCTGGCCCTATGTGAATGTGGGCACACTGTTGCAGGCCTTTAAGACTGGCTGGGAATCTGATTTTTTTAGGTAAAATTTCCTAAGTTTTAAATATTGCCTATCAAGATAAAGCAGAAAACTCTCTCTCTCTCTCTCTCTCTCGTGTGTGTGTGTGTGTGTGTGTGTGTGTGTGTGTGTGTGTGTGTGTCTGTCCTCTCTATCTCTCTCTCTGTCTCTCATATACACACACACACACACACACGCACGCATAAATAAAAAACCATTGTGGGGACAAAAAAGCAAGTTGCTGGATCTAACATTGAGGCTAACAGTGTGTGGTCTACTGTGCAGCCCCTGAGTTGCAGATATCAATAGAAGGTTGGACTGGGTCAGAATGAAAACATATTTAACTTGGTTCACTGCAGGCAAAAGATGGCCCTAGAGAGCTGAGCATAATGGCTAGATACTTCGACTAAGCTATTGTGGCAGGATGTGGTTTTAGAAAGAAGAATACGAGAATGAATTCTGCATTTCTGCCTTCACATCTTCCTCCACATTGCTAAACATAAAGCAGAATTGGGGGAGAGAAAGTGGATGTAGAGAAAATTGTTAATGACCCAGCAAAGGGTTAATGATGTTAGAACCAATTGTGACTTAACGTAGGATCATGTCTCTGAAAGTGCTCTAAGAAACAATACTTGCTTAATACTAATGAAGAAATGCCAAGTGGAGACTTCAGTCTTAGCACTGTAGTGGCCTGAGGAAAAATATTATATGTGGGAAGTAACAGCATGTGGTTGAAATAACGTTACCATGTCACACACACACATTGTTATTGAAATGTGGAAGGGAAAAATGAAAAGACCCAAAAGGAGCAGAAGAAAAATAAAGCAAAGGGAAGACAGCAGAGATATGATTCTGATAGGTAGACAAATTCTCATACTGAGATACAAATGAGATCACTTTTAGGCTTGTGTTTTATTGTTCTGTTCCTTGGGAAGCTGTGACTAAACACTGACCAACTGTGTGTTCCATTACCACACACTGACTTCAGACTTACACCTGTGTTTCACATCAGAATTAGTTTCTCCTAACCCATTATTTGACAAAGTATTTCTTTACATTTGATATAATTTTGGAATTAAGGAAAATTTGTAAGTCTAGTACAGAAAGTTTCCATGCACCCTTCACTCAGTTCCCCAAATACTAACATAATATGTAACTATAATACAATATCAAAAAAAAATGTAGCATTGGCAAGACAAACATTATTAACTAGGGTTTAGACTTTATTCAGATTTTGCCAGTTTTTCACTAATGACCTACTATCCCAATATACAATCCAGGATGCAGTGCTCACTGCATTAAATAGTCATGTGTCCTTTGACTCATCCAATTGGTGAGAGTATCTGTCTTTCATTTGCTTTTAACATCTGGGCTCATTTGAGGACTGATGGTCTGTTCTTTAGTAACTGTCCTACAATGTGTCTTTGTCTGATGTTTTCACATGATCAAAGGGAGATTATTCATTCTTGTCAAGAGTGTTACATAGAGATATGCCCTACTCAGTATATCCTTGGGAAACACATGGCACTATGTCTTATTGTTACTTATATTAATCTTGATCAATTGAATGAGGCGGTGTCTTTTTTGTTCGTTCTTTTTTTTTTTTTTTTTTGAAACAGAGTCTCTCTCTGTTACCTAGGCTGGAGTGCAGTGTGGCAGTCTCAGCTCACTGCAACTACAACTTCCTCTCAGGCTCCTGAGTAGCTAGGACTACAGACATGCGCCATCATGCCTGACTAATTTTTGTATTTTTAGTGGAGACAGGGTTTCGCCATGTTGGCTAGTCTGATCTTAAACTCCTGATCTCAAATGATCCACCCACCCCAGCCTCCCAAAGTGCTGGGATTACAGGCATGAGGTGCTGTGCTCAGCCTTATTCTTTCCACTATACATTTATTAATTGAAATTCTTCTCTAAGGAAGAGCTATCACTTCTCCCTTTTATTTATTTATTTATACTAGTATAGATTCCCAGATATCTTACTTTTTGTGATATAATCCAGTACTATCATTCTTTATTTTCTAACTGAAATTGTTCCACCTTTGGCCATTGGGAGCTCTTTCAGTTTGCCTCCTCCACCCTTTGACATACTCCCATTCTTTTTTGAGTACTTTTTAATTTTCTAACACTTCCAGATGCTCCAAGATCATCTTGTATTTATTTTTTCTTTCTGCATCCTGGAATCAATCACTACTCCAAAGTATATCATAGGATGTTGACATTTCACAGACTTTAAACTGAATGTACTCTCTTAAGTGTCATAAGTTTATCTTAAGGGTGATAACCAATTGCAAGAACAATTCCTCTGTTAATATGTTTTACTGTTCTCGAAGAAATCATTTTGCCTATTATATTATGTATTTCTGTTTTTAATTTTTACGGATTCATAGTAGTACAGCAACTAGTATAACAATTTGTTGTACATATTTATGGGGCACATGTCGTATTTTGATACAAATATACGATGTGTAATGATCAAAACTGGGTAATTGGGATATCTATCACCTCAAACATTTATTATTTCTTTTTGTTGCTGACATTCCAAATCTTCTATTTTGAAATATACGATAAATTATTAATTCTCGTCACCCTATTTTGCTATCAACCAGTGGATCTTATTCCATCTATCTAATTGTATGCTGTAATCATTAACCAGATACTCTTCATTCTCCACCCCTACACGCCTTTCGCAGGTTCTGGTATCTATTGCTCTACTCTCTACCTTTATGAACGCTCTCACATATAAGTAATAACATGTGACACTCGTCTTTTTGGGCCTAACTTATTTCCCTTTCTATAATGCCCCCTAGTTCATCTATGTTGCTGTAAATGACAGAATTTCATTCTTTTTCATGACTGAATAATATTTCATTGTGTATATGTACTACATTTTGTTTCTCCATTCATCTTGACTTAGTTTGATTTTGGCTGTCATGAATAGTGCTGCAATAGAAAAAGTGGTGCAGACGTCTCTTTGATATGTTGATTTCTTTTCTTTTAGATATATACTCTGCAGTGAGATTGCTGGAATAGAACTGCTCAATACTTTAATTTTGACGTTCACTGCAATAATTGATTATATGCTGACTAGAATTCTGAATTAGTGTGACTATAGAGGGTGATGCTTATTAAAGCATTTGAAATTCACTGTTTTCAAAGTGTCTAAGCAAAAATATAGATAAGTTTTATAAAACAGACTACTACGTATTTATCCTTTTACAGGAAATCTGTGCTAGGTATGCTAACTTAAAAAGAAGTATAAACAAGTCATATGAGGAATAATAGCAAACATTTTGATGAGAACTGGCGGTTAAGACTGTAGATCGGTAAGCATTCTATATCTTGGCTTGTGAAGGGGAGTGAATAGAGAAGAAGATGCTAGAGACAGTGAATGGGTGTGATGTTTTGGACCAATTGTGACCAATTGTCAGTGGTTGTCCAAACTGCTGTATAGAAAGAGATCTTGTACTGAGCCTGGATTCATTGGTAAAGGGCATTGTTAACAGTTAGTGATGTTTCCAGTGATTGCAGCTGGAAGATGTATAGGAGTTTAAGCATCTGGCCCACTTAGTTACCATTTCTAGTTTAGTTAGCACAATAAGAGGCTCTAGTAATTATCACTGAAAAGGATGGTGCCTGTCCATGGTGCAGAATTCCCAATGAACTAACTGGTAAAATCCCAGCTAATGAAACAAGCATTGCTTTGTATAAAAACAAGTGTCCAGAATCTTCTTGAAAGCCCCAAATCTCTACTTTTTCAATGTACACCCATTTTTATTTTATTTTATTTTATTTTTTGTGCTGCTTCCCCATGAATACAATATTGTTGTGTTGTTTTTGTTTAAAATCTTTGGTAGCTGATGAGATCTTCTGCATGATCATTTTCAGTTTCTCCTAACTTTGAAGCTACAATTTTTTGGAAGCAGTAAATGCTAAACCTAACCTTATTCTCTAAAAACTCTGATTCTTCTTAGATATTTGTATATATCCAGTTTTAATGAGGTATTGTTTAAAAATTATAGATAGGGAATTACTAATCTGACTATCAGTTTAGCTTTTGATAATACTCTAGTAAGGTAGTGAGAAACAGAGCTAGTTGAAAAGTAATGCAACACCCATATTGAATTTTTAACAACTTAATACATTTTAGGAAATGATCCATCTGAAAGGCATTATGGCTTGCTGAGAAAAGCTGTACACTGGGAACCAAGAGAAGTGGGCTTGATTCCCAGCTCTGCATCTGACTCACTCTTTGTCCTTGGGCAAGTCACTTAGCCTCTCTCTGTGTCTATTTCCTGTCTCGTAAAATCAGGAGAATAATGCATAAAGCCTACCACCTCACCATGATATGTCGAGGCTGCATTCTATAACCACGGAAGGAATCTTTCTTTCCCCTGGTGGCTAAAAACAAACTTATTTTTATTAGCATCTAGTTAGATTAAATTTTGCAATAAGAGCATGAATTTACAAATCACTTCAAATAATCCTTTAATCTTGGAATTACACTGGAGTTCTATTGCAACACACATAGCTTCATGTTAATGCACCCATTTGCTAGCAAGAGGCTTTGAGACACTTGTGTTTACAAAAATATTCAATGTCTCAATCTTCTCGAGTACCAACTATGGAGTCTTCTACTGAGCACAGCAGAGCCCAATAAAAGAGTAGAAGATAGAATCCTAGGGAGAAGATGCTTACACATGAGAAACAATTAGAGAACGCTATCTAGAAATATTTATTCAAAAATGTTATTGTCAAGATTCTAGTTTAGACAATGAGGAAATCAATGTGGTCTGGAAAATCACAGAGCAATGTCATGCAATATATGGAACAAATGCCTCTTATTTTATGACATCTTCCATGATTCCTTCAGTAAAACTCATCTTCTTTATTTCCTTCCCAAATCTTGCTAGCTCATTTTACATTCTCCAGATTTTTTCTATCTTTTATGGCTTTTATTAAATAATTTTTTTCTTATAACTACTACATAATCATGGATAACACATTATATTTGGTTGTTCTTTTTCTTAATTCTCCTTTTATAATGAATTGTAGTCCCTCTGTACTTTTTTCATGAGTTTGACCTTTTGAGATGATTCTGTCACTTATAGAACATTTGATATTCTGAATTTATCTTGCTTTCTCATTATTTCATCTATCATGGTTCTCTATCACTGATATTTTCTGTAAACTAGATATTAGCTCTATAGATTAGATTCAGGTTGAGCATTTCTGGGCAGAATGTTTTCTGGGTGGTGTTTGGCATCTATATTAATAACTGTGATGTGAGTTATCTGTACATGCAATAGTAGAATTTGTAGCACACCTTGGTGTAGTGCTCTGCATCTTCTGCTTCGTTACCATGCCCAGCAGCAATATGGGGTATCATTGTAAAAGAAAAGATTGCACTTATATAACACTATGGCCTCTGATCAATTACATTATCTCTTCAAGTTTGTATTTTCTTGTCTATAAAATGGGGATAATGATAACTAGTATACATTATTCTTTTGAAGTTCTGAGACAATACCTGAAGTTTTTGTTCATAATAGGCACTCAGTTAATGGAAGTTTTTAGTAGCAGTAGTAGTAATAATGTTTGTGATACTAGTAGTATTCAGTGATATAGGCCTGCATGATGAAAACATTTAAGACTGGCATTCATTCTACAAACAGAACAGCAATGCTGTTCAGCCAGAATCCCTATTGTAACAGATGGACTTTCCTGCTCGCTTGTTTGGTTGTTTAACATGCTACCATGTGGTATGATTTAAATGGAGGATATCATTTTTAAATCATTTTCAGGACAAATCAGGATATAAATGATCCAGTAAAGAAGTTAAAACATTATTCATGGGCAAAAGACTCTCTCAGGGCTCTTAGGTTTCTTTGCTCCGTGATCATTCTTGCAACCTACTACTTGAATGCAAGGAGACAGATGTACATGTAAGATCCAGGAACCTACATTTGGGCTGTTCCTAATAATTTACAAAACACACATTAGGGCTGCGGTAAACAGATTAAGTTTTAAAGTCAGTCTGCTTGTCCTCAAATGCAGGCTTTATCACTTGTTAGCTGTTTAACATTGGCCATGATGCATAATCTCCCTGAACCTTAGGCACATTTCTTTTCAAGAAAGCTCAAAGGGATGTTGTGAGTATAGAACAGAGATACATAAACCTCCAACTTGTCAGGCACGATGTCTCATGTCTGTAATCACAGCACTTTGGGAGGCCAAGGCAGGTGGATCACCTGGGCTTAGGAGTTCAAGACCAGCCTGGCCAACATGGTGAAAACTAGTCTTTACTAAAAATACAAAAATTAGCCAGGCATGGTGGCAGGCACCTGTAATCCCAGCTACTTGGGAGGCTAAGGCAGAATTGTTGAACCTGGGAAGTGGAGGTTGCACCAAGATCATGCCACTGCACTCCAGCCTGGACCACAGAGTGAGATTTAGTCTTAAAACAGAAAACTCCAACTTGAAGTGACTTCCTAACACACACTAGGCATTATTGTAGTTTTATGATTATATACCTACTTTTCTGCATCTCCAGTTTTGTCCATAGTGGGCAGTTACTAATGCTTAGAAATCAGTGTAGTTTTAGTAACAGAGATCAGGGTTGCAGCAAGGTCTGTGCACTGCACAAAGGAACTACATAAAAAAATGAAAAGGAGGAGTGTCATCCACATTTCTTCAGTTTATCAAACTATGTGCCCTAATCCGGGGTTGCATTTGTCCAAAGAGAGCTTTTTCTAATTAGAACAAAAGTGACGTATAGACTAATACTGCCTTAGACGAAAATCTAAGCAGAACGAATTGCAGGAACAAAATTAGGGAAGAAAAGGGAACCAATTTACAATAGGTTGTTCATTATTATATAGCTAATATAAGATGAACTCCTGAACAGTGAGGTATGTAGGAGATGTTGTTCTTTATAACCTGCTGAACCCCAATGTGGGCTTTAAAAATAGTTTCTAAAAGAAATCACTAAGAGTTGTATGAATATAATTAATGAACTACTTTATTATCAAAGAAAAGATCCTTGTTGCAGAAAATACGTCAGCATCGATTCTCATATTGTCTCCTGAGATTAGTCATTCAAAATGTAATTTATTTTTTTCCTCAGATAGTTTAAAATGACATTTTAACTTATTGGTAATGCCTCAAGTCATGACTTTGCTTTCTTGCTGAATGTCCTGTGGGGATGCACCACCATGTTGAGTCTGAAAATATCAAGACTAAATAACTGGCAATCTGGAATACTTTTCTGATCTTGACGGTATTATTTCAGATGACTTTTTAAATTTTATATGTTAAAAATAAAGATTTTTCTGATTTTCATGATATATTTTTACCCATGCAAGGCTTTTACATTCGCCTTATAAATAAACAGGTAAGGGGAAAAGGAACATCTATTTTATTTTTTATGCTCCACAAGTACCACTTTACTTCTTGAACAAAGAGGAATTTTTATTCCAGGAAGAATGATATGCTTGTATAATACCAAGTAGATGTTCAATGCTTCTAAGTGATACATTTACATAAAGGATAGTTTGCTTTCTCATCAGAGTCTGTACGTTAAAGATTTTCTGTCAGAAAATCAGAATGAAGACTAAAATCAAGGCCTGGGTTTGTCTCTTAACACTTCACATATCATTCTATGCACCTTTTGAAAACAACCAAACCGAGCATCACTTTTAAATGTTGACACTGTACTTTGCTGAGCTATTATTTTCTCTTCAGGTAAGGGGACTGTGAGGAATGTTTAATGCACATATTATTTTCCTCCTTAGTGAGGAAAAAACAACTTCCATTTAAATAAAATAATTCTGAAATTTAAAACGTTTTTCATTACTTTTGTCCTTTGAAAACCAAATATGAT